ACAAACAAGTTTTACCGTACTAACTAACCTCGGGAAAACTTTGGCCAACATAATCTGCTGCATGTGTCTCTTTCAGCATGTTGGAAAACAGGACAGAACCCATGCAAGAACAAACATGGTGAAAATTGCATTGCGCAAGTTGTTTGCTGGCATTTTGTGCGGTTGTGTGGTGCTGCTGGTTCTGGTGGTGAAGTGAGTGATGAAAAAAAACAATCCAAACACATCCATATTCTAACTGCACTTTTCACCACCAGAATTCAAAAAGAAAACAAACAAATCTTACCGTACCAACCAACCTTGTTCAAAACTTTGACCAACACAATCTACTGCATGTGTCTCTTTCAGCATGTTGGAAAACAGGACAGAACCCATGCAAGAACAAACATGGTGAAAATTGCATTGCGCAAGTTGGTTGCTGGTATTTTGTGCGGTTGTGTGGTGCTGCTGGTGTTGGTTGCGAAGTGAGGGAGGGAAAAAAACCATCCAAACCTATCCATATTCTAACTGCACTTTTCACCACCAGAGTTCACAAAGAAAACAAACAAGTTTTACCGTACCAACCAACCTCGGGAAAACTTTGGCCAGCATAATCTGCTGCATGTGTCTCTTTCAGCATGTTGGAAAACAGGACAGAACCCATGCAAGAACAAACATGGTGAAAATTGCATTGCGCAAGTTGTTTGCTGGCATTTTGTGCGGTTGTGTGGTGCTGCTGGTGTTGGTGGTGAAGTGAGTGATGAAAAAAACAATCCAAACACATCCATATTCGAACTGCATTTTCCACCACCAGAATTCACAAAGAAAACAAACAATTTTTACCGTACCAACCAACCTTATTGAAAACTTTGACCAACATAATCTACTGCATGTGTCTCTTTCAGCATGTTGGAAAACAGGACAGAACCTATGTAAGAACACACATGGTGAAAATTGCATTGCGCAAGTTGTTTGCTGGTATTTTGTGCGGTTGTGTGGTGCTGCTGGTGTTGGTTGCGAAGTCAGCGAGGGAAAAAAACCATCCAAACCTATCCATATTCTAACTGCACTTTTCACCACCAGAGTTCGCAAAGAAAACAAACAAGTTTTACCGTACCAACCGACCTCGCGAAAACTTTGGCCAACACAATCTGCTGCATGTGTCTCTTTCAGCATGTTGGAAAGCAGGACAGAACCCATGCAAGAACAAACATGGTGAAAATTGCATTGCGCAAGTTGTTTGCTGGTATTTTGTGCGGTTGTGTGGTGCTGCTTGTTGGTTGCGAAGTGAGTGATGAACAAAAAACATCCAAACCTATCCATATTCTAACTGCACTTTTCACCACCAGAATTCACAAAGAAAACAAACAAATTTTACCGTACCAACCGACCTTATTGAAAACTTTGGCCAACACAATCTACTGCATGTGTCTCTTTCAGCATGTTGGAAAACGGGACAGAACCCATGCAAGAACAAACATGGTGAAAATTGCATTGCGCAAGTTGTTTGCTGGCATTTTGTGCGGTTGTGTGGTGCTGCTGGTGTTGGTGGTGAAGTGAGTGATGAAAAAAAAATCCAAACACATCCATATTCGAACTGCATTTTCCACCACCAGAATTCACAAAGAAAACAAACAATTTTACCGTACCAACCAACCTTATTGAAAACTTTGACCAACATAATCTACTGTATGTGTCTCTTTCAGCATGTTGGAAAACAGGACAGAACCCATGCAAGAACACGTGTGGTGAAAATTGCATTGCGCAAGTTGTTTGCTGGTATTTTGTGCGGTTGTGTGGTGCTGCTTGTTTGTTGCGAAGTGAGTGATGGAAAAAAACCATCCAAACCTATCCATATTCTAACTGCACTTTTCACCACCAGAATTCACAAAGAAAACAAACAAGTTTTACCGTACCAACCAACCTCGGGAAAACTTTGGCCAACATAATCTGCTGCATGTGTCTCTTTCAGCATGTTGGAAAACAGGACAGAACCCATGCAAGAACAAACATGGTGAAAATTGCATTGCGCAAGTTGGTTGCTGGTATTTTGTGCGGTTGTGTGGTGCTGCTGGTTCTGGTGGTGAAGAGAACCCATGCAAGAACAAACATGGTGAAAATTGCATTGCGCAAGTTGTTTGCTGGCATTTTGTGCAGTTGTGTGGTGCTGCTGGTGTTGGTGGTGAAGTGAGTGATGAAAAAAACAATCCAAACACATCCATATTCGAACTGCATTTTCCACCACCAGAATTCACAAAGAAAACAAACAATTTTTACCGTACCAACCAACCTTATTGAAAACTTTGACCAACATAATCTACTGTATGTGTCTCTTTCAGCATATTGGAAAACAGGACAGAACCCATGCAAGAACGCACATGGTGAAAATTGCATTGCGCGAGTTGGTTGCTGGTATTTTGTGCGGTTGTGTGGTGCTGCTGGTGTTGGTTGCGAAGTGAGTGATGAACAAAAAACATTCAAACCTATCCATATTCTAACTGCACTTTTCACCACCGGAATTCACAAAGAGTACAAACAAGTTTTACCGTATCGACCGACCTCGTGAAAGCCTTGACCAACATCGTCTACTGTACGCGTTTCTGTCACCACGTTCGAAAACAGGACAGGATCCATGCAAGAACAAATATGGTCAAAACTGCATTGCGCAAGTTGTTTGCTGGCATTTTGTGCGGTTGTGTGGTGCTGCTTGTTTGTTGCGAAGTGAGTGAGGGAAAAAACCATCCAAACCTATCCATATTCTAACTGCACTTTTCACCACAAGAGTTCACAAAGAAAACAAACAAGTTTTAAAGTACCAGCCAACCTCGGGAAAACTTGTATCTGTGAGCTAAAAAAATCATATTCTATCTCCTGGTCTGCTTGAGTAATCTATATGTATGATAAGTGCAAATTATTGCAACTATGTGTTAGTTTATCATGTTGGAGGTGCGATTCTTGGATTTGGGTTTGGAGTCTAGACAATTGGATGATCAATTGTTTTGGGTATGTATGATTCATAATGCTCATATTCTAACTGCACTTGTGCCATATTCTAACTCCAGATGCGTTGGCTTTTAGAACAGTGTCCGTAGACCGTATTCTATCTCTGGTAAAAGATTTTTCATATTCTAAGTGCCTGTCCCTCACAGTAACATACGTGGGAGCATTCGGGTTCGTGGGCTGCATCTTATTTTTTCCGATTTAAACCCCTCCGAGTGAGGGTGGTAAAATTGAATTATAATGAATTCCGCATGCGTGTTCGCAGAAATCATGCCACGGCAGAACATATTTCTACACGAGGTGGGATGTGATGAGCGTTCACTTCCACTTGCACACTTTTTGCCAAGGAAACACTACGGATGCAGCGTTCCTTGCTAATGTTGCATTGCCAATGACGTAATGGGGTTATGTTAACTTTCCTAAAACATCCCAAAACATTGTGTTCATTGCTCGTGCACGTGCCACGTTGCCAATCCAGTGGGGGGGTGGGTCGGGTATCCCTACCCTCTTACAAATGGAATTTGAGGGGGGGAACCGTACTGAAATTTCATTTTAAAATTTCATGTTTGCAATCATGTTTTCTCAATGATCAATATTCTTCATCATTCCATGTCATTGGCACTTGCGTTTAGCTCCGTCAGACTGAAGATACTGAAACAGCACATGTGTAGGGATGGCATCCCTCCAAAAAATTGCGCTGCCGTGATCATACCGGAGCTAAGCGCAAGTATTTTCTAACCAGTGCTCAAGGCTTGTTAAGAAATGTTACTTTACAATTCCATTCGAGGGGTTGGATCACCATCCCAGGGTTTCCAAGCAAAATCCTAGGGTTTACAAGCGAAAAAAAGTGGAATTCGACAGGTTGGTTTTGTCCCCCCCCCCCTCCCCTTCTATAGGGTTAGGGATGGTCGGGTAGGGGCTGATGGTAACTATTTTTGAGCCTTAGCGACGTAGCGTTCCGAAACGATTGCGTTTAATTATCATTGATGCTAGGCTGCCGATGTGTTTTTGGAGGTTGGGGCCGAGAAGGTCAGCAGTTTCCTTCAAGAAGGATCGGGTGAAGATTCGTTCAACTTGCATTTTTTATTGCATGGTCTTGGCGGTCAATGGTTTCTCTTTACACAACAGGACGGCCAATCTGGTGGTTTGTGTGGCCTGCAATCCTATACCTTCTCTAAAGCTTTGAGCGGGATGAAACGTGTTCTGTTAAGTTGTGGGTTCCTGTGTGCTGTTTGCCATACTGCGGTGTTTACCGTAATTGCGAGGTCATGGGTGCGAAGCAAATGTGAAAAGACTTTAAAATACTTTAAGCATTCGATGGTAAAGAGGAATGCACGCACTCCCGTCCGAGTCAAGTCAATTGCCCGGTCCGCAAGGGGCATGGGAGAAGGGAAACATTATTGACAAACCTTCAAACACAGTTGCCCCGACAGAACTGCACGAAAAAAAATCATGTGACAGCCATTGCTGCATATGCAGATGGTAAAGAGGGTTGTCGTTTAAAATTCGGATGTTGGGACAAGCGCAAGCGAGAAACATGTCGAAGTAACGCGTTTTTTTTTGGTAGTTTGAAATCATGGACATAATAAACCGATGGATTTCTCTTGGAAAATGTGATGCCATTTTGACCGAAACAACACATTCGGTCACAAAATCTGGCACGGCAATCTCACCGGACACAGGAATCTTGATAGATCATGTGGTCCTGGACTGTAACAGTGGCAGGCCAGCATATAAAATTACTTTGCCATATTTTCCCACGTTGCTTATTCAAGCGAACATGTTTGGGTGGTGATTGGTGGGAACCATGTGCCGCATTTTGCCGGAACAGGAAATGTTAAAACGTCCGTCGTGAAGCAGCAAGTTGGTAGCGAAAATTCAATGCCGGAACACACGAGAGCTGACATCCAGATATGCAAGTAAATTGAGCACAATAGATCATACCGTGGGCTCAGGGTCAGGGATGATAATGCCTACGTTGATTCACATAAAAAATTAAACTAATTTATACATTCATTGCAGCCATGCCGTTGCGGACTGCTTTGACGAACATGCTTGGCATCGAACATCCGATTATTCAAGGAGGCGTGGCATGTTGTGCAGAGGCTTTACGATTGCAAACATTCCTGAGTTTGGATATTGGAGCGCCCGATGAGGCATGCAATATGTTGGGTATGCAGAAATGGCAGCCGCTGTTTCCAATGTGCCTTGGTTTGAAACCAAAAACGCAACCAAACAAGAGCACACACCCACGCGCACACACACACACATGCGACGAATGTCAAAATTTCAGCACTTTGTGTGAGATAAACTTCGTCGCATCACATGACAAGACCCATCCCAGTATAGTATATCCCAGTTGCTTCGGCTTGTATTGGGCGGTGGCGGTGGCGTTACAAAGGGTGTGAGAAATTGGCAATGAGTTGTGTTGCTGGTTTATGTATTCATATGCATATGAAAGAATGTAGATATATGGTCCGTGGGGGCTTAGCCTTGGGTTTGGGGGCTTAGCCGTAGCCCTGGGTGTGGACGAAGGCGGAGATATGGTTGGGGTTGTGGTTGGGGTGTAGCAAGCGTCTATGTGGTATTGATATGGGTGCATCTCCACAGCGGTGCTGGACATGCAACTAAAGTTTGGGGACTTTATATTTACATTTGTACTTGTGGACATGCATGAACACACACAAAAATATATAAAGGTACATACCTACATATACCTACATATATCTACATATACCTACATATACCTACATATACCTACATATACCTACATATACCTACATATACCTACATATACCTACATATACCTACATATACCTACATACGATATACGTACATACGTACATACGTACATACGTACATACGTACATACGTACATACGTACATACGTACATACGTACATATGTACATATGTACGTACGTACGTACATACGTACATACATACATACATACATACATGGAAACATGCACAAGTGACATAAAAATAAAATAGTGTCAACATCGTATTCATAACCCCCCTCCCCCCCAAACATTAAGAGCATCAGAATAAAGTTAGGGCCAAACATTCAACTATCGTAAAAATCACCAATGTATTCCCAAATGAATTGCCTAATTGAAAACGAATACATAAGGGAACTTTCCACAAAAAAATAAAATCATCTATGTATTCCCAAATGAATTGCCTAATTGAAAACGAATACATAAGGGAACTTCCCCCCCCCAAAAAAAAACACGTATGTATTCCCAAATGAACTGCCTAATTGAAAACGATTACATAAAAGGAACTTTCCAAAAAAAAACGCCTATGTATTCCCAAATGAATTGCCTAATTGAAAACGATTACATAAAGGGAACACTCCAAAAAAAAAAACAAAAAATCACGTATGTATTCCCAAATGAATTGCCTAATTGAAAACGAATACATACAGTGACCTTTCTTGGAACTTTAGTATTCACAAATTAATTGCCTAATTGAAAATGAATACATAAAGACATAAAGTGAACTTTCTTGGAACTTTAGTATTCACAAATGAATTGCCTAATTGGAAACGAATGCATGAAGTGAACTTTCTTGGAACTTTAGTATTCACAAATGAATTGCCTAATTGAAAACGCATACATAAAGTGAACTTTCTTGAAAGGGTTTAGTAAGGAAATCGACCATTTGAGCCTTGTTGATTTTTTTGCACTCCAGAACTTTTCAGGCAAGATTTGGAGTTTGGAGTTTACTGCTTCCAGCTCAAAGAGTCTTGAGGGCTTCAGAAAGGGTTTGAGAAAGGGTTCAACTAGGAAAGGAATTGATAAACAGATTTAATTAACCACTAAAATTTTAGAACCCTGAAATCCAAATACTTTATTTAGGGGTGTGCAAACATACATTATTATTTTGATGTTAGGGGACTTCAAGGCTACACCCTTTGCGCGATTGTTTTTTAGCATTTTTTGGAAGGGTTTAGTAAGGAAATCGACCATTTGAGCCTTGTTGATTTTTTTGCACTCCAGAACTTTTCCAAAAAAACAAACCACCTATGTATTCCCAAATGAATTGCCTAATTGAAAACGAATACATAAGGGAACTTTCCCTCCAAAAAATAAAACCACCTATGTATTCCCAAATGAATTGCCGAATTGAAAACGAATACATAAAAGGAACTTTCCCTCAAAAAAAAAATAACCTATGCATTCCCAAATGAATTGCCTAATTGAAAACGAATACATAAGGGAACTTTCTCTCCAAAAAAAAACACCTATGTATTCCCAAAGGAATTGCCTAATTGAAAACGAATACTAAAGGGAAAAAACGGAAAAAAACGGGAAAAAAAATTGGCGTAATTTTCTTGCGGGGTGGGTTTATTAACTTTTGCCGGCGCCAGTTTCCTCACTACAAAAGTTGGCTCGAAGCAGCCGCACAACCAGAGTGGCCTTTACAAAGCGATCTCTTTGTACAGTTTTTGTGTGAGGAGGCTTGAGCAAATTTTTCCACATCGAATCGATGTGGCTTGCCCATGTCCTGCAAGGACCGTA